GATCTGTCGTAATTATTATGATTCATCCAATGGACTGCGACGCAATCTTTAATCGAAACTGACGCGATCATCCGGCAAGGTGATCATCCTTCTCCAAGTGATTTTTGCAATACGATAAATTGCATTGTCGACTCAATGATGATCCAACGTTAAAAGAGTTAAACTAAGGTGCACCCAATATCCTCAATAATCATTATATATATATATATATATATTGTTCTTTTTTTTCACAATTTTTTTGGAGTTGATACAGCACCTGAAACAGAGAGCTAAGATCAAAATGTTCTTCCAAGAGAAGAGTTAACCTATAATTATATAAATTAACTATTCTCTCAAAAAGAAAATTTTCTTGCTCGGTTTTCTTCTTTATTTTCGTTCACTTTTCCACTTCACTTCACTTTTTCACGAGACTAGTCTCTTGAGGTTTCTCACACAACACTATCAAAGGGTATCTACAATGTAGGTTATATTTCCCTCTAAATTTCTGCTCTCTCAGCTCTTTAAATGGAACATTGAAATAGTCATTTAAATAGAAAGAGAGCAATAAAGAAGGAGGAAATGAAACGGGACAACTTGCTTATTTCGCGCATGCGCACTCCATTTTGGTCACGCAAAATCACGGAAAGTTGCGCTATATACTGTGACAGTAGCGTAATTCTTCTGATTTTATGTTGGTAAAATAAGTAAGTTGCCTTGTCTCTTTTCCTCCCTTTTTTTGTTCTCTCTCTTTGTCTCTCTATTTAAATGAGCGTTTCAACGTTCCATTTAAACATATCTTTCAAGCATACATGGTTCAGAGTAGAAATTTAGAGGAAAGTATTACGTGTATTGTCCATTTGGTAAAATGTTATATGAGAAATTTCGAGGGATTGGTCTAATTTTTGTGAAAAAGTGATAAAGTGTAAAAGTGAACAAAAAGTAACATAGAAAAATCGAGCAAAAAAGATTTCTTTTTATTTATTGTATTTTAAACTTATTTTTTAGACATATATGTATATACATTTCTTTTACATCTCTCAGCTTTCTCATAACATTTTCATAGATATATATATATAATTACATAATATTTCTTTATACAAAAATATACATTTTTAAGTTAATTTAATATTTTTCCTAATTTTTCTATATATTTTTTCTTTATTTTTCAATATATTTACAATTTATTTTTATTAGTTTTCATAAAGTTTAAATGATTTCATCGCAATATTAGGTTTATTCGCGTCGCATATTCTAATATGCTCCAATATGTTTCTACAATAGCACTTACTCCAATGAATTCATTGGATTGTGATGCGAATAAATCTAGTGAGGTTTGCGAGGAATTTTAACAGAGTGAAAAAAGAATGAAAAGAGAAAGAAGTTTAGGTGGTAATCGTAGCAACGCCAGATAACTTACTTATTTCACGCATGCGCACTCCATTTTGACCAACACTAACATCAAAGGTGCCGACAGAGAATTGCGCTACTGTATATACTGTGTTAGGGTCGTTCACGAATCTTATAAACACTAACGCTACTAATACGCTACCTCAGAAAGAATAGCGTTGATAGCGCGCAGTTGTGACGTAGCCTTAGTTATAAAAAATTAACCAATCACAGTCGAGTGTAAGAAGAATAATCGATTATGATTAGTCAATTTCTTATAGTTTAAGATTTAAGGCTTAAACACAATAGGCACAGACAATAGGCAACAATGAATAACGAGCCATCCAAGAGCTCTGATATGTAAGTTTGATATTATATCCCAGAGCTCTGGGACAGCTTGTTATTCCCTGTGCCTATTGTATTTAAGCCTTAAAAAGTTAGGTAAAACCGTGATCTACAAACAGCAATCAGAAGAGATTAAGAGATTAAGAGACTAAGAGATTAAGACCGAAGCTCGACCAATGAGAACAGAGCAGGCTGAGATTGAGATTGCAGATTGAAATATAAGGCTCGGTCTATTTTTCCAATCTTCGATCTCAACCAATAAGCTTCCAGTATTTCAGCCACATGACTAACTTCACGTGACTAATCTCACCAAATGTATTGTGTATGTACAAAATAATAAGTTATAAAGGATTGTAAAAAATACAAGCACAATTAAAACGTGTGAGTGCAATTAAATGCATACTCAATAATTTTTTAATTGTTATGTGATTTTTCCAATATTACTAATCTCAATCTTAATTGCTGTTGAATACCATTCATAATGTTCGTGATTGAACAATCTTCAATTTTAATCTCAATCTCAATCTCAATCTCAATTTCCAATGCATAGTCTGATCACGATTTTATGGGCCTTCTACAATAAGCCATTAGTAATAATCATAAATCAGAAATAGTAATAATCAGAAATCAGAAGCTAAAAATTGACCAATCCTGATCAATTATTCTTCTTATATTTGATTGTAATTGGTCAATTTTTAGCTTCTAACTTCTAATTTATTACTAATGGCTTATTGTAGAATGGACATTACGCTTAATATTTCTTTAATGCGTAAGTTGGCGGGGCCAACCTTTTTTTGCCGGATTCTTTGGTTTTGAATGAAAACGCGTCGAGCCTAATTTTATTAAAATCAGAAGTAAAGTATTTTAAATAATTACCCTTTATTTGTTAGATTCATTAATTTCTGGCAGGAATATTTCAAATAGGTCTAATTTTATTAACATTAAAGGTAGGAATACAGGTTTATGTTAATAAGATTTATCCATAACTATATAAATTTATTAATCAAATACTTAAATACTATTCAAATATTGGAGAATAATAAATATAACCATTAGTATCTCATATAATTAAAGATAATAATTAATAATAAATATTTAAGATAAGAAATAATAATAAAAATAAGTTAGAAATAATAATTAAATATAAGTATAATTGAAGATAATAATTAAAGATGAAGTTACTTTAAGATAATTTCTCAGGTACTTTTTCCAGCATAATTATCAATAGCAATGCACAATTTCTCCCACAACTCTACAAGACTGTTTTCTGTCAAGCCAAATTCACAAAATTCTTTTAATAAAGACCGATTTTCTTCAGAAAACTCCATTCCTAAATCAATTCCGTTTCTAAATTAATTAACAGTATTTAGCATTTATAGAATGATTTTGATCAAATCCACAATTAACTTCAGCGATCAACTTAATCAGAAATAATAAAATTTTTATTATATAATTTGTACTCCCTAATTTAATCTAATATACATGTGTATGTATTATTATAATTAGCAAAAAATTAATAATTCTATATATTGACAAAATATTGAAGATATTATTTGACAATTAAATTTATATTAATTGTCGATAAAGTTAATCAAAGTTTAATCAAAATCACCACTATAGTTTCTCTTTATTTAGCAATACTAAAAGGTAAACAATTTTTTACCTATGTCTGTAGACTTTACTGTAAAGAAATGTTCAATCTGCCATGTCAAGTCCAAAAATTTCATTGTCCATTGAAATATTACATAGCTTTTCTCTGTATCTACAGATGAATGTACATATACTAATATACCTCCGTTTTCCTGAGTACATTGCTCAGAGCTTGCATATTTCTGTATTTCTAAACTATGTAGAATTTTAGATCTAAAAATATTCTTTGCATTGTAATCAGAAAGTGCTAAAAAGAAATACAACTTTTACTGATAAATAATATTTATATGATCATTGTAATAATTTTATTGTGATTACTTACCAGACATAAGAAGAGAAAAGTTTTTCATATTTGTAATTTTCTTAAACCAAGGGGATATTTCCAATATGTAACAATCATGGATATTTTTATTGAAATAACATGTTATGTTCTCAATTTTAAAATCATCATTTAAATACTGAAAAAAAAAAGAAAATTAAGATAAATAAAAAAAATAGTTGTTTACAGAATTATGTATTTTATAGGCTGTGTTTGGAAACATCACCTGAATACTCCCGTGTATCATCTTATCTTTGTTTAACATTAGATGAACAACAAGGATAAAACGATACACAAATGATGTTTCCAAATGCAGCCCTCCTTATGTATATACCTTCAAAATCACTGTTAATTCAATATCAAAGGAGATTGTTTTTGTTATTACTTTAGCTGTATATATATAAATATCATTACGTAACAACTTTCTATCGACATTGTCGAATGTTATTCCTGTCACTTGAGCTGTAATATCACATAATTTAGCTTCATACTTGGCAGATAAAGATTCCGACAGTTTGTGATCATCATCATCAGGAAACAGCGTGCTACAATCATCCATAGATCGTATTTATCCATAGATCAAAATAAAAAATTTACGCATTTATATTTATAACTTAATTACGTGTTGAAATTGATTGATTCTTTACGTCCATTTTCTTCTTGATCCTTCAATCTGTCTTCCAAGTAAACAATCTTTTTCAGGAGATGTTCTTTCAGAGCACGCAATTGTATTATTTCTTCGTCCATTTTAAATAAATGTAAGGTGTGTTTAGGTAAATGTTAAGAAGAGTTCCCTCAACTCGAATTTTTATAAAAATATACTTAATCGATGCGTTTTTGTGTTAAAATAAAAAATTTACAAGAAATGTCACTCTACCCCGCGAACCGAAATATTAAATGACTATTGAGGTTAAGAAATCTGTTACAATCACGAAATACTGCGATGCAAGAATGTGCTGCGGTTACAAATTCGCTATTTTAAAACAAGTTCTCTGCTCTAAAATATAAATTCACGACTTTGAAATAAATTTCCTGCTCTAAAACACAAATTCACTACTTTAAAAACAAATTTACTGTTTTCAAAACATAAAAATAGTATAAGAAAATAGTTTGTTTTCAACGTAGCAAATTTGTCTTGTTAAAGAATTCAATGAATTTATTTATAAAATAGTGAATTTGTTTGAAAAGTCATGAATTTGTGTTTTACAGCAGAGAATTTAGGTCTGTTCTTTTTAGATAAAGTTTTTACACGATTCATCTTTCTTCCTTTTCGCTCTACGTTAAAAAGAAAAAGAGAAAAGATAAATTATGCAAGAAGTTCAGCTAAGGGTGCGATTCACTTCACGCTGTAAATGCTTTGAAGCATTTTTGAGTGGTCAATTCATAAAATTCTTCTGATTGGTCAACGAAGTATTTGTAGTGTTAAGTAGATCACACTCTTAAGGCCATGGCACACAAAAAATTTAAGGCAGTTAGGCGTAAACAGTAAGAAAATTAACATGTTGGATTGGTTACTACTCACGTTATGGACTTACGGACTCTACCGTGATTGGTCAATTTGCTTATTGCTTACATTTTACTGCTTAAATTTTTTTGTGCGCCATGGCCCTTACCCCGGACACTGACGAGATACAATTAAAGACTGTCAACCTTGAGCAAATTTTCGGCGGTATAAAAAGGGCCCCAAAGGCCCGGAGACAATTAAAGATTGCTGATATTATCGTCAATTCATATAAATTTGCTATTATTAACATAAATATTTGATTCATACATTATTAAATTCATGATTTTTTATTACATAAATGTTTCATAAATAAATATGCATACTTATAAAGCTATAATATACTATATATTGCAGAAAAATTACAATTTTTTTCTCTGCAGTTATCTCTGATAAACTTTGATGATAGCACTGAAATCACAATTTTAAAGAAAAATCGTATTATTGAGTTCTAAATACTTGAATATGTCCACTAAACTAATAAATCATAAAATTTGTATGATATTATCAGTTTTTAACTCTTAATTACTTCATTATTCACAAGGACTCCCGTAAGGATGTCGGTCTTTAATAGTATCTCGTCCTGGATCTACAATAAAATTCTGAGGGTGCGTTTCGAGTTACACATAAAACGCATATATCGTTTCATCTTTCTTTATTAATTGGTAAACAACAAGGACAAATAATGCATCATGCGCTTCATGCGTAATTCGAAACGCACTCTAAATCTTAAGCCGTAAAAAATGGACGAGTCATAGTCGATTATTCTTCTAGAATTTGACTATAATTGTTCAATTTCTTATGACTTAAGGCTTAACCGACTAAAAAGAACAAGTTGCGTACGTGGTAAAAAGGATTAACATAGGTAGCTCTCCAACCACTGAACTATATATAGGAATGGGCATTGAAGAAAATTCGTGACCGCAATTGATCAGCCGCCATTTTAATTAAAACAATATTTGAGCGAATCAGAAGCATTCGCGCGGGCGCTCGATGTATCGATCGATGTACTATCGATGTATGGAAATCTATATAGACATGAATGGTATATAAACAAAAATGTCACTTCAATTTTATTAGTACATTCAATAAAATAACATTAATAACACTTTTCATATTCTACATCGTCAACATATGTATAGGAATTGATACATTTAATACAAAAATGTTTATCTATGAAATGAAATGCTCTTTTTACTTCTTTGCCCACACCCACACACGCAGCACTTCATGTTGATGCTTTGCACATTTTATAGTTACGCGATTTTATAATCTCTCAAAGTAATCTTTCAAATACCACCTCACCCACAATGATCTTGCTGATATATACGTCTCACTAAAGAACACTAAATGTAAATGCGCACGAGCATCTGAAAGCTTCTAATTCGCTTTTATATTGACAAAATTAAAATGATCAATTGATGGCCACGATTTTCTATGCTTCACAACGGAGGTGCCCATTTCAGTGTATATATAGTTCAGTGTTTCCAACAAGAGATACAAGAGATTTGTTCGCGTCGCACGCTCCAATATGCCCAACGCGCTCCAATATGTCGCGTCACTAGAATCAATATGGCGACTAGATGTTCGCGTCGCGTTAAGCCCTAGACACAATGGCTATGTTCAGTGGACTCAACAGTTGAATGAGTGCTAGCTTCTATTGATGTATTCTTCCAGATCTAAGATGTTGATTGAATGATCTGAGAGAATACATCAATAGCAGCGAGCGCTCACTCAACTGTTGAGTCCACTGAAAGCAGCCGATGTGAGGCAACAAGAACAGCGATAGAATAGCATAAAAATAAGCGATATACAACTGTCACCTCTCGTTACACAATGCCGCGAAAAAAATAAAAATATCAATCAATCTGATCTCGTATATAGACCGTAATATATTCTTCTATCTGCTTCAAGATTAGCACATATAAACAGAATAAAAAATTCAAACGCTGATTAGTAGAATATAAGATGATAGATACAGAATTCCAACTCATCGGAAATTTATCGCTATTATGTTGCAATTTCCGACTCAACGAAATTAAATAATTTATATGCGGATTTGTGCGATCCCTCCGATCGGAAAATCGCCGGCTTTACAATATCGTCAAAAAAAGCATCGCTCTGCCCTGTGAGCCGAGATATTAAGGGTTAAAATTGATAACTATTAAGGTTAAAAAATCTGTTACAGAAATAAAATGAGGGTAATTCTTCAGAAGAGCTACCTTCGATTTTGATTAAATTAGGCTCATTCGACGTGTTTTGTAAATTATAAGAATCTGACAAAAAAATGTCTGGGATCTCTGCGAATATCTTGTCAGATCTTGTCACATTAGTCTGTCATGTGACACTGTGGAGTGTATAGACTAATGCTTATTTTGGGGCGGCTATGCCTTGCTGTTCGTAATATCGTCAGCTAATAGTTAGTTGTATATCACTGAAAATGAATTTTATTCAAATATTAAAATGAAAAGAGTGAAGAACTTGTGAAAATCGATCTTAGTAAAGTAAAAATAATGCAAGGTGAGCTATATAGTAGAAAAGTTGTAAAATTTGCTAATTCATATTTACGGTAATAAATTTATATAATATAAATATATACACAGTGTGACAAATATGTTCCTGGGCAGGGCCTGAAAATCATAATTGAAACAACAATATGCCTATTTTTTTGTTTTATTATTCAAAATATTCTCCTCTGGCTTCAATACACTTGTTACAGCGATTCAATAGTGATTCAAATGCATGTTCCAGCTCAGTTTGCGGAATTGCCTGT